CCTGTAGACTCTTGCAAGGGGCTGTATAGAGTGCAGCTGAGTAAGGAGCCAGTACCCTCCCCAGCCCCAGGAGTAGCTGAAGGCTAGCTGGGACCGCAGACACTGGAGATGAAGCGTCTGTTCTTCAGCATCAGCCTCTGCCTTGTTTCCCAGGATTCCTTAGCACCTGTCTGGAAGGCTGGAATCTGAGCCTTCACTGGTGCAGGGAGACCAGGGTTCTGGGCTCAGGGGACATCTCAGTCTGACCCTTACCTCTCTCTGCCAAAAAGAGTAGAAAGATTTGGAATCAAAGGATCCCATCACATGTTCTCAGGCCTACTCGGGCACAGGGGTGAAGGCTGAGAGAGGGTACCAGGCAAGGGCTCTGGTACTGTGAGAGTGAGCAGGTTTCCATCATGTGAAGCTCCTACATGGTGGGAATGGGACAGTCAAGATTAAGTGACAGTTGGTGGGGAACATATGCCACAGGCATTAGGAAGGGAGGCAATTCACCCTTCCGTTTCCTAGGGATTGGTTCATGAAGGCCATTGTAAGAAATGGTGAGTTCCCAGTAGGGGAAATCTCCCCTGTAATTGTCTTGGTGCTGGGAAGTGGTGACATTCAGGCTCAGGGGTCAAAGCCATTTTTTTTTTTTTGAAGGAATTTTGCTATTTTAACCTCCTCTATAAACAGTAATGGGTAAAGCTTCAGGTTCTCAATGTCATTAAGGAAAATGAAGGTGTGACCACAGAGTCATAATTATCTCCATCCCATGTTGTTCAGTAATGGATGCATGGATGGGTCGGTAGGTAGTCAGAGGTAGGTAGGAGGACGGGTGAGTGAATGAGAGAGTGACTAGTGAGTGAATGGTAGATAATGAATGGATCGATAATGAATGAATGGATGAGAAGAGTGAGTGGATGAAAGAAAAGATGAGTAGATGTATAGTTAGATGGATGGATGTCAGTCACCTCTCCTGCGATTCCCAGGCTCTTTCTCTCCTTGTTACCCTGACTCCTACCGCTTACAGTTTCACACGGGGACAGCTTCTAATCTGCCATTGTGCACTCTGAATAATTTTTTAATCAATGGGATTGTAGCAAGGCTGAGACACAAAACACAGACAGAGATAGACTGAAAACATTTGTTTCCCTTCTGACTGATACTAAGGAATGTAGACAGGATGGCAGAAATAGCACATTGCAGCTTTACTGTCTCCCAAATCAGACTGAACTGGATAAGGATGGAAGAATGATGATGTTCCAGAGTTTATTACTGAGTAACCAGCTGTCAAAATTCCCATCGTTTAAGTAAATGGCCAGGATTCGCCCATGACTCTATGGTGAGGCCAGGCTCAAAGGGTCAGCCATCTCTGTGCCATGATTTTGGGTGAGGTAGTTGGCTCATATCAAGGGCTCTCAGGGCTTCACCCTATGGGGCTGGAGCCTCTGAAGGTGGACTGCCCCTCTCCATAGTGCTTAGTAACCCTCGATCTGTGAGATGCATCAGGAACTTGGGGGACAGCTTCTTTTTCTCCTGTGATGCAAACACAAAGCCACAAGCTGACCGTCACAGGAGATCCTGCACCACTGATGTCAGTGACATCCTCCTCAAGACTGGCACAGTTCAGGAGGCTGCATGAACAGGTCTCTCCTTCAGGAGGAGGAAGAAGAAGAAGGGGGGATGCGGAGAGCACCTAGCAGTTTGAAGTCCATGTAATTCGGTCATACAGTTCAGCAAAAACACTGGCCAGAGGCTGGGGATTGGGACATCTGCGGAGGAAGGAGCCCTGATCCCGGAAGTGTCTCTGCGCCCCTGACCTCCCTGGCTCTGCTTTCACTCTCTGAACTCTGGGCCCCCCCTTTAAGAAGAGGTAGCAAGAGAGACCTAGTGCCACCTCTCTGAGCTGCTCTGATTGCACTTGAAGCCCCACGGCTGTTCTGTACATCACAGTTAGGCGCTTCCATGGATCTCTTCGGCAGCTTCCTCTATCGCCCACACCCTGGCCACTCTGTGCTGTGAATATGGTGTGGGGTGACTAAAGCTCCCAGGAGCCCCCTTATTAAGGTGAGGGAGCATCCAGCACCCCCTGAAAGGAATCTCAGGTTTCAACCCACAACTGCTAGGTGACTCTGAGCTCCAGTAGCTTGTGTCCTTTGCTCATTCTGTAGAATTTACCAGATATATTCTGTGAAGTCATTCATAACATCACCCTTTCCTGCCTCTGATAGAACCTGTAGGAATACCAAGGTCATTGCTCTCCCGTGGGCCACACGTTCTCTCTTCTCTATCTACCCACTCCTCCCTCTCCTGTCTCTCCCTCTTCCCCTCCCCTTCTTTCTCCCTCTCCCATAAAAAGGAGACAGTGAGGCGAGCCCAAGCAACGGCGTTTCTGGACTGTGGATGATGTGATGGGCTGCCTTTAGGATCCTTCCTCCAGGATTTCTCCACCATGGTGGCTTGTGCTCTCTCAGATTGTGAACCGAAATAAACGTTTTCTCCTGAAGCTGCCTCCGTCTGGGTATTTTTATCACAGAAACAGAAAAAGGAACTAAAACACAGGCTAAACTGAGGCAACCAACACGGAGGTGGCCCTGGGTTTCAGAACCTCCGGTCCGAGCACTGAAGCCTCACCAATCCTTCCCAGTCATCACCTGAGGCCTCTGCCAGGTGGTGAAGGCCTCAAGATACAGAGCTATGAGAGTAGTGAGCCAGACTGGGCTGTGGAAAGACAGGGGGACACCTTTGTGCAACATCCTTGCCCGGGACAGCTACTGGAAACTACATTCTCTTGAGAAGTTCAAAGATGGCTGGAGAGTACCACCAACACCAAGAACTGAAGGACAGTGGGACGAGTCTTGGCTGTCAAAGCTCAGACAGGTGATGAAACTCAGAGGCCTCACAGTGGCCCGGATGTTTGTGTCCACCTACCCTGCATGTGGTGAGAACTACCTCAAGGGGATGGGGTTAGGAGGCGGCCTGTCAGAGGGGCAGGCCTCCTAGGCAGAATTGGTGGTTTTAAACCAGCAGAGGGGACCAGGGTTCTTCCCTTCCACCATGTAAGCACACAGTGGTTCACAGCCATCTGAGAACCAGGAAGCGGGCCCTCAGCAAAAGTCAAACCTGCCAGCTCCTTGACCTTGGCTCCCAGGCTCTGAAACTGTGAAATCAATGTCTGTTTATAGCCTCATGGCCTGTTATTTTGTTCTCATAGCCAAGTCCACCTCTGAGGAAGCTCTTGAAGAGGGCCCAGCTGACTGCCCTTAGCCAGAGGTCACAGGGCACAAGACCAGGAACGAAACAGACTGGAACTAATTACTGATGGGCAACGTGGAAAAAGTTCACAAAAGGCTCAATGGCACCTACTGTAGTTCTTCAACGTGGTCAAAACCTAAGCCAGAGACTTCCAGATGGATGGAGGCTGAGAAGGTGACTTCATGGGCCCTGGTGGAGGAGAAGAGTTGGGATAAAAAATAAACAAATATAATTAATATATATATACACATAAGCATTATGTGTGCATATATAGAGAGAGGGGGGAGAGAGATACTATTACAAAGACATTCATAAAAGCAGAGCCAGGACAGCTGGAATTCCGTAGAAACAGGAAGATAAACACATCAAAAGGAAAAAAGCCAAACACAGCTTCAGCATTGTGGCCCCTGGGGGGAGGAGTCAGAGCCCCAGCCCAAGGGAAGCCAGGCGGCCCTGGTCCAAAGAACCACAGGAAAAGGCCACAGCTCCACAAGCCTCAAATCCAGCTGCTGATCTTGTGGAGACAGCTGCTTTTCTGGCCAGGTGGGTGGGCTGTGGAGAGCAGTGTCCCAGTTCTGAGGGCTGTGGCCGGGAGCCATCCTGAGAGGGAACCTGTTAAGTAAACCTGATGTACCTTGGAGGCCAAGAACAGGGAACCATCACAATTCAGGGGTCCAAATTTAACCTGCTACACAGCTCAGGGTGAGAGCTTGGGAGGCAGCTATGGAGAGTGGGCAGCTGGTATTGAGAAGTCAGAAGGTCCAACGGGCGGGAAGCTGGGCCCAGGCAGTGAGGTGCATGGGGACAGGGACTCTCACCCTGGCTGTCTGGAGCTGACCCGATCAACTGAGAGTACTCTGGAGTTTGACAGCACTGAGCTGGGGACCTAGCCTTGAGTGTCCCTCTGTGGACTCTGAGACCCCTGCCGTCCAGTGGCCACAGTCTGCCTCCCAGCCGCAGCCTCCAGTTTAGTTGGCTTTGGAAGTAGGACAGGTCTACCCATACAGATGTCAGCACCGAGGTCACTCGCTCCACTCCAACACAGCTGGAGACACTCCCCACCCCTCGGCTAGACCTTTAGCTGCTCCTGGGTGAAGGAATTGAGGAAGTTCAGGAGGGTAAGGAGGTGAGAGGGCCTGCCCAGCACACAGGCTGCAAAGCCCAGTGTGGCCAGCAGAGGCCCTCGGTAGGCTGAAGTGAAGATGGCCTGGTGTTTATTTGTCCCAAGCAGGGTCAGCACCAGCCTAAATGGGGGGAGACAAGAGTCCACAGGCTCAGCTGACCCCACACACCCCACACACAGGCCGTCTCCACATTCACAGCACCCAGAAAGAAGACACCCCATACTTTGGTGGTTTTTTTTTCCTTGCCTCTGTGATACATCTTTTTTCTTTTTCTATGCTTCAATAGAAATACCTTTATTTCATTTTTAAAATTATGTTCATAGTTTTAAGCCCCTTGGTCTATTTATTTAATTTGTTTACGCATTTGTTTCATTATCGGGCAATCTTTTGTCTTTTTCTCTTTTGTTCATTTTATTTTTCCTTTTTGGTCATATAAATGTCCCCTTTTTACTACTAGCCTACTTTTAATTTTCTGTAGCTCCTTTGTTTGTTTATTTGCTTATTTATTGGATTTCATAAGGCTTTTTTTTTTTAGCGTGGGCTCAGTTTATTTGCCAATTGTTTTGTTTACCTTAAAACAATAGAAAAGAATCTACTTTTAAAAGGAAAATATACTTTTATACTTCATATCTTCACATCTCGTACAACTGATAAAACGTTTTATTGAAGTTATTTACATTTTAAGGGTCCAGTTGACATCGGAAAATTGATAAACTTTAAGATATTCTTACTAAACAAATACAAATCTGTTAAGGGGAGTGAGGAAGGATGGCAAGCTTTAAAAAAAAGAAAAGGGGGAGGGGGTTCTTTTATGCCCGGAATTTGAGGCCGATAACATGGCTGAAGCTTACAGTCCCAAGGCCCAGTGCTGTGCGCTCAGGTATTGCAGGTGCAGTCCGGAGGCGTAGCAGGCTCGGTGTCGGCGGCCGGGCTCGCGCTGGCGCCTTCTTTGCGCACAGCCTGGTAGGGGTCCAGCTTGGAGACCAGCTTGGCGGAGGCCGAGAAGCCATTCCACATACAGTCCTGCAGGATGATGTTCTTCACGAAGGTCTCGTCGTCCGGGTCGCAGACGAAGCTGTGCTTCACCGCGTCTCCTCCAGGCAGCTCGGGCACCATCTCCAGCAGGTCTGCGGTGAAGAAGCCATCATCGTCGTGTTCCCTGGGGTTGAAAGACGCGGCGACCGCCTCGCTGGGACCTGAGTAGAGCCCGGCGTGGCCCGGGGACGGGCGCGGCGTGGGCAGCAGCTCGAATTTCTTCCAGATGTCCTCACTGGGCGCGGGCGGCTGCGGCGGCTGCTGGTGCACGTCCTCCTCCTCATCGTCGCACATGAAGTACGGCTGCACCGAGTCGTAGTCCAGGTCCCGGTTGCCGTTGGCGAGGCTCACGTGGAGGGGCATGGTCGCCGCTGTGCGTTTGAGGGCCACACCGAGGGGAGCAGAGCTGGTGCGTGGTGCGGTGCGCATCAGCCCTGAACCACTCCCCTTCCCCGGTCCTCACTTCCTACTATCCCGACAGTCCCTTCTCCAGGCCTTAGTCTCGTCTGGAGCAGAGGGAGGAGGCGACTGCTGGTCGCCAGACGCCACGCTCAAAGTATCGCGCCACCTTATGGAGAGAGGCTAGAGGCGCCACGTCGTGCACGCACAGGCTGGATTTTCATGCAGGCATGTAACCTACTTCCAGCAAATTCTCACTCATTCCCTGCTGTTTATAGTCCTCCACCTCCCTTAGTCCTCTTTGTTCGCCTAGTTTCTCTTCTACTTTCATGTCATCTGTAGCAGGTATGATTTTATGTGTCTATAAAATCTGGGACCCACGAATGAGAGAAACAAATGTATTTGTCTCTCTGAAACTGACGTAATATGATAATTTCCAATTGCATCCACTTCCTGCAAATGACGTACATTGCTTTTATTTATGACTGAAAATATTCCATTTCCATTTATAAACCACATCTTTGTTGCTCTGTTGATGGGCACCTTGGTTCTATAACAGCTGCTGTGAAAACTTCTGCAATAAACGCATGTAAAAGGATCTCTGTGGAATACTGGCTTGGTGTCTTTTTTAAGGGTTTTCTTAAAGACGTACTATTTTTCAAAGTTACTTGTATTTTTATGTGTATGAGTGATTTGCCTGCATATATGTAAGTGCATTACCTGCATGCCCAGTGCCCATGGAGACTCAGAGAGCATGTCAGATCCCCTGGAACTGGAGTTATGACACTGTGAGCCTCTATGTGAGTGCTGGGAACCAAATCCAGAAGGTCTGCAAGAGGTCCTAAATGCACAGCCAATTCTCCAGCACCACCCCACACATTTGAAATGTGTACACAATGCTTGCATCTATAAATGGCATCTGTGCTGGGCGGCAGTGGTGCATGCCTTTAATTTCAGTACTCGGGAGGCAGAGGCAGGTGGATCTCTATGAGTTCAAGGCCAGCCTGGTCTACAGAGTGAGTTCCAGGAAAGGCACAAAGCTACACAGAGAAACCCTGTCTCAAAAAACAAAAACAAAATTTACATATATATGTATGTATGTATGTATATATGTATGGCATTTGCAATTTGTCTAGAGTGTAGATACAAATATATGTGAGTTACACATTAAAATTAGGCATGAAATAAAATTCTAAACTACTTTATGATTGAATATTACATAATGTCAGGCAGGCAAGGCAGCTTATGCATTGGAAGGCTGAGATGGGGATTACTGTAAATTCAGTTTGGCTGGGCTGCATAGTGAGTTCCAGGATATCCTGGCCTACAAAATGAGAACCTTTCTCAAGCAAACAAGAAAATCCATAATGCAGAATTCCTAAAATCAAAAGATCTAGTTTTATTTTCTCTTTTCTTTCCTTATTTTATACCAAATTTTTAGGAGGGAAAAATAAATGACTTAAAGAACACTGATAAGACAATATGATTTCTGTCTTCTAGACAATATCATTTTACAGCTATTTGAGGTCTGCATTAAAGATCGAAATGAGTTACAGAAGTTTTGCATACATAAAAAAGGCTTGAGGAATAAATACTTTGTGTGTGTGTGTGTGTGTGTGTGTGTGTTCGAACACGTGTAGGCCAGAGTCAACCATAGGTGTTCTTTCTCAGGATGCCATTCCACCCACAATGTTACTTTGAGACAAGTTCACTGTGACCGATGAGGCAGGCGAGGCTGGCCAGTGAGCTTGAGCGATCCTGTCCTCACCATCCGGGGCTGGGATCACAAACGCATCTCCATGGCTTTTTTAACATGGATTCTGAAGCTTGAACCCAGGTCCTCACACTTGCAAACACTTGACTGGCTGGGCATTCTCCCTAACACCTTATAAAGAAAAAAGCTCTCAAGGGGATTGGAGAGACGGCTCAGTGATTAAGAGTACTGGCTGCTCTTGCAGAATCCCCAGACTTGATTCCAAAACCCATAGGGTAGCTCACAACAGACTGTGACTCCAGCTCCAGGGATCAACACCCTCCTCTGGCCTCCAGAGGCACTGCCTGGGCATGATGTGCAGACATCATGACAACAGAACACCAACACATAAAAATAAATAATTCCGTTTCAAAGAATAAAGCATTTTATATGAAATTATATGTAATTAAGTTAGATCTAACCCACATATGCCTTATAGGGTTTTCTTATGCTGTATATACAAATGCTTGGACTTGCTTAGAAAGTTTATTTTATTTATTTTGTGTTCATTTATTTTTTAATTTTAAATGAATTTTCATATAAGGTATAGAAAGTTGATTTATTTTAAGTAAAAGTTCAAAAAGACCAAAAAGTATGTGGTGGCACACAACTTCAATCCCAGCACTTGGGAGGCAGAGGCAGGCAGAACTCCTAGTTCAAGGCAGCCTGGTCTCAGAGCAAGTTCCAGGATAGCCAGGGCTACACAGAAAAACCCTGTCTCAAAAAAGAGAGACAGAGACAGAGAGAGAAAAAAAGAAAGAAAAAAGACAATAATTTTAAATTGTAAATTTACTGTTAATTCTTCCACATTTTAATTTTAATGAGGGCTTATTTAAATTTTGGGGAGGCTGTAATCTTTAATATCTATGTTGAGACATAATTTGGGAGCCATCAAGACAGTACATAAAACTAAAACTGAATAGCAACTCTCCCTTGAGAATTGGGTATGTTTTATTCTTTCCCTGAGTGTCTCTCCCTTTACCCCTGTGTTTATAATGTAGGTTTAAATGTCATCTAATAATAAACTGTGACTACAATAAACTTGAGAAGCCCATTCCCCCAAATCTGGAGTACCTGTATTTTTTTTTTCTGAGACAGGGTTTCTCTGTGTAGTTTTGCACCTTTCCTGGATCTCACTCTGTAGACCAGGCTGGCCTCGAACTCACAAAGATCCACCTGGCTCTGCTCCCGAGTGCTGGATTTAAAGGCATGCACCACCACCGCCTGGCTTGTATTCTCTTCTGGAACACCTTTCTTTCTCTTTGAACCAATCACCAACTCTGCTTCATATTGGCTCATCCTGTAATTCTCTGCATTGAAGCCATGAACCTGTGTTTGGCCTGAGTCAAGGCCTCCAAAAGAGGGACCCCCCTTCCCCCCCCTCCCCGCACCCCCAGGCTGTCCTGGGTGGCAGTTCAGAGCCAGGCTGTGCTCCCATCTCTACCATGACACTCTACATGGCTCTAGCCACCTGGTATGTCTTTTGCCATCTATAGTTTTGGTCTCTCACGGCCCCCCACTCCCAAAAGCATTTCACGGCCAAGCTAGTGAAAACACCTCCAAGGAGCACTTACTTTTAAGAAAGCTAGTTTGCCATTACATGTTTGCTTTTGTGGTTACATTCAGCAGGTTTCCTGTAAAGCTTTGGTGTTCCCTGTTGACATTCTGCAGGTACAGGTTCAAACAGCCTGGCACAGAGTGCTTGGATGCTGAACACCATCCGCAGGACAGACAGAACTGAAGCACACACTCCAGGTAAACCAGCGAGCTGCGTGGTTCATTCAGTTGTCAGCCTGATGGAAATCACCAGGGAGAACAGCTTCCAAGCATGCCTGTCGGGGATTGTCTTGATTAGGGTAGTTGAGGTGGATTTAGCTGTCCACTGTGGCTGGATTCATTCTCTGGGTTAGGATTCTGGACTGTATAAAAAGAAAAAGTATACTGAGCCCATTCATCAACACACACTTTTATCAACCTATGTTGCTTTAATATTTTATTACATTTTATTATGTACTTATTTTCTGTGCATGAATTTGTGTGTGTGTGTGTATGTGTGTGTGTGTGTGTATGTTCAGGTAACACGGCCAATGTGTAGAGGTCAGAGGACAACTTGCAGGAATCAAATCTCTCCTTCCGTCCTGTGAGTCATGAGGACTGAACTCAGGGTCAGGGTTGGTGACCAGATGGTTTACCCTCTGAACCATGCGGCTGACCCAGTCTGTGCTGCTTGACTGTGGATTGGAAGTGACCAGCTCCCTCTAGCTGCTGCCGCCTTGGCTTCCTCTTCATGAGGGACAGTTTCTGAAACTGTGAGCCACACACCCCCCTCCTTAGGTTGCTTTTGCCAGAGTATTTTTTCAGAGCAACAGAACACTAACAAACTAAAGATCCCGTCCTTCAGAGCCTCCAGATGCTTAAATTCAGTGAAGAAAAAGCGCCATTGGCACCAGCAGGGTCAGTCTGTGAGTGAAAAACACACTTGCCATACACAGCCTGACCCCTAGACTCAGTCCCCAGAAGCCACGTGTAACTGGGAAGAGAACTGCCAACGTAAAGTTGTGCCACGACCTCCACGCCTAGGCCGCGGCTTGTGCATACCTGCATAAACACAGTGGTATCAAAACAACTCTTAAAGTGCCTTTGGCTCTATCTTGCTATCTGCCCAGCCCCTAACATGTGATCAGACCACCTGAAAAGCTCCGTCCAAGTCACAAGGGACCAAAAAACCACAGCAAACCACAAGATGGTTGGGTTGGTCAAAATGTCTTTAAAGACGACGGGTTCAGAGTTCAAGAAGGAGGAAGTTGTCCCTGCCAAAATGGAGTCCCTGGTGCTTCCCTTCCAGCAGTAATTAAGTCCAAGAAGTTTCAGAGGAGGCTCCAGTGTGGGGGCAGCTGGCAGAAAAGCAGGATGCTTCTTCACTTTGCATCCTGCTAGGACTCTGCCCATTCCTCCTGGGCAGTCACGGACCCTGAGCTTTCACACTAAGTCCAGGGTGTCATCCCTGAGTCCCCAGCACTGACACACAGAGGGGGGTGGGGGGGGATACTGTAATGTGGTGTGGTGTCAGACTGCAATCTCTGCATGTTTGGGCTCGAATTAGAAGTCTTCCTGATGTACTGATTGCAAAGTAGAACAATATCAAGTATTTGAATTTGGGGTGGTCCTGGGGCCCACAGTTAAAAGCCATGCATAGCCCCTGTCTTAAGCAAGAAGACAGCCTGGTATGCATGTGGGATCCGGCCTGGCCCTGCCCTCCGAAGTGTCTGGATGCCTCAGACCCCACCCACAGCAGCACAGCTGCTCCACCTCAGGAACACCCAGTAGCTCCCAGCAAGAGCTAGGTCCAGACAGGAGAGGAATTCAGGGAGAACCGTGATCAGGTGGCAGTTAGACTGGAGGCTCACAGAGCTGAGGGACACTAGCCTGAGTACCAACAACCCCTCAGCAAAAGGTGACATGTGGGAGCTACACTAGGCTGCATTGATCACATCTTCTCCCACACTGTGGCCGCCATGTCCCGATTGGACAGAGAAAGCCCACACCCTGGATAAACTCTGGGGGAGGGCTGGAGTGGAGAACAGGCCTGGTGGAGGCTGTGGCGGCTTCTGTCTTCCCTGAGGAGGATGATGGAGGAGCTGGCCACCCTTGCTCCACCCTGTCACTGAGCTCGGCTTCTCAAGGAAGGCCCTCCCAGTAGTCCACCATGTCCTGCTGGAGCAGGAGCCCTGTGGTGACAGTCACACTGCCCAAAGCCCTGATGGCTCCTCACAGCCTTGTCCCCAGGGCCTTCGCAGACGCTCAGCCAGGGTCCAGCCTCACAGCCAGTGGCCCACCAGGTGAGGACGTCTAGGCCCTCACCTGGCTCTCCAGGAAAGTCAGCTGCCATGCTCCTCGGGCACTGGTCAGCCAGTGTCGCTCAACTTTCCCCGTGTCTCTGCTGCCCGCAGAGCTCTTAGAGCCCACACAAGCTTCAGGGAGAGGCTGAGCCAGAGTAGTGCTGAAGGGCTTTATTTGGAGTCAGTGGGGGAGGGGAGGCCAAGGCCTGGGGTGGGGAGGCAGTGGGGGGTTTGGTCCAGCAGAGGTCTGGTGCAGGGGTGTCCCAGCCAGGTGCTGGAACCAAGGCTTGCTCAGCAGTGCAGACCTGGGTAGCTGCTGTGGTAGAGAGAGGAAGACAGGTAAGTACCCCGCCCCCTGCCGCCATTGTTCAGGAGCAACAGTCAAGGGAGTCATGGGCAGGGACAGCCCAGGGCAGATATGGGTCAGAGATCTTCTTTCCCTGTGTTTCTGTGGGGTCCCTGCTAGGCGCTGGGGCCCTCTAAAGTGATCCCTGTATCACTCCCATGAGTAGCCAGGTCTCAGCCTCCTTGGAGAGAATGGAAAGGATGGGACCAGGCAGAGACCAGGGACTAGGAGAGATCACGACAAAAAGAAAGGCCTTCCTATATGTCCTGGATATTATACTCAGGGCCACCTCCCTACTGACCACACTTGTCTGTGTGGATGGGATGAGGACCCCCTAGTTCCTGAGCCTGGCATTCTAGGCTTTTCCACAGTTCGATGGGGTACTGTGGGGGAGGGGGATGGACGACTTACCCTAGTCACTTTCAGAACTTTCAGGCACACACTGCTCTGTAGAAACCGAAAGAATCCCAGGAGTGAGAAGGGCCCAGTAAGAGGACCCCCTCACCCCTGCAGCTCAGCCCCTCCCACAGCCAAGACCTGAAGCAGGGCCCGGACAACCCTGTGAGAGGTGAGGGGACCTTGAAGGTACAGTACAGAAACCAGGAATACAAAGGGAGCAGGGTAGAGAGCGAGGCAGGAGCACAGGAGATTTGAGGTACATGGGGACACTGAGGCACTCGGGACAGTATGCCCTCTGTGACAATGACTTATGGATGACACTGAGAACATGATGGAGATACCACAGAGACACAGGGGACGTGGAGAGACAGGAAACAACACCCGAAGGACAATAGGACCAGGCACAGGAAGGATGCAGAAGGCACACGGACATGCATGTTTAGGGACTGGCAGTGACACAGGGGACACAGGCAGAGGCCGGGCAGTCCTGCTCTCACCGCTCAACTCTGGTACGAAGATGTTTTCCTCTTTCAGTCCCTTGCGCCGTACGAACTCCTTAAATTCTTCCACGGCCTCTGGGTTTTCCTTAGAGTCTCTCCCTGTGGGGAGGTGAGGCAGGATTGAGGGGTGGTGCTCAGCTCTGCAGAGAGCCAGTGACACAGAATGGGAGCACTAACCAGCACAAAGAGAGAGAGGACCCTGGCAGTGGACAAGGAACTATAGAATGTAGACATCCAGACACTGAGTGACCCTCTTGCCCAAGGAAGAACCTCTGTAGCCCTACAGGGTCACTCCACAGACCTGTAAGAGCCCTGAATCTCAGGAGTATGAGACTGTCCCCCGACCCTGGAGGATCCCTACCAACCATAAAGGCCTCTGCCAAGACATTCCATTTGAAGTTGACCTAACCTTTGGCTGAGATCCCTGGAAGTGGCATTTGCTGGCTCCAGTGGTGGGAACCTCTCCTGGGTGCCCAGGTCTCCAAAAGTCACAAAAGCCCCATCCCCACCCAGTTTTACCCACGTTCCACTTTGGATTTCATACATTTCCTGGGCAGGACCCAGGGTCCGGCAGCCAGAGGCTTCCCAGTCTCCAGTACCAAGCATGGCTGCTGCCCTTCTCATGACGACGGGAAGCAGAGACCAGGGACAGGACCTGGGACCTCCATGGCACCTCACCCATGAGCTTTCCCATGCCAAACGACTTCCCACGCTGATGGCTTTCACAGTAGAAGATGTAGTGATCCTTCACTGAGAGTTCTTCGACATAGACGGACCTCTTGCCGTGAACTGCAGGGAAACAGAAATAGCTTAGTGTCTCATCCTTGAGACACTATTGGAGACCACGTGAAGGAACACCTTGGAACACTTTGGTGGTCACCCAGGAGACCTAGCTAGTCTAGCCATGGCTTTTCTATGGTCCACATAGTTAGACAGGAGCCATTTCTCAAGAAGCTGCCAAGCCCAGCCAAGGAATTCAGAGTAGGGGGTGGGGTCGGACCCAGGCCTGAGCATCTCCCTGCCTGCCTTTCCTGTCTTTAGCATTGGTTTCTCCTGGGTCAAGAGCTGAGCTGGGCAGGGCAGCAAGAACCAGTCAGTTTCTAGGATTGACCAGTCCATGGCCTCTAATATCTGGTGCATGGAAAGTGAGTGGATAGCCTGTCCTAGAAGCTGGACCAGGCAGGGACCCATCCATGCAAGGTCTTGCCACTGCAGGAGACCCTAAGACAAGGGGACTCACAGGTGGTGTATCTGCCAGGCTCGTCGGTTTTCTTCATCACGAATTTAAGCTCATGACACTGCCCTTTCTTCCTGTAAAACACAGGCCCACAGTCAGGCCGCTCTCAGCAACATAACTGGGCTCTCAGCTCTTTTGGTGTATCAGCCCTGGTCAGGTGAAGTGGTGGTACTGCGTTCCCTAAAATATTGTGCACCCTAATAAACTTATCTGGGGTCATAGACAGAACAACCACAATACTAAACACAGAGGATAGGCAGTGGTAGCACACGCCTTTAATCCTAGCATTCCAGAGGCAGAAATCCATGTGTTCAAGGATACAGCCAAGCATGGTGACTCATGCCTTTAATCCCAGAAAGCGAGCCTTTAATCCCAGGAAGTAATGGCAAAAACAGAAACATATATAAGGCGTGGAGACCAGAAACTAGCAGCATTTGGCCTGGTTAAGCATTTGGCTGGTTAAGCTTTCAGGCTTCTAGCAGCAGTTCAGCTGAGATTCATTCTGGATGAGGACTCAGAGGCTTCCAGTCTGAGGAAACAGGACCAGCTGAGGAACTGACAAGGTGAGGTGGCTGTGGCCTGTTCTGTCTCTCTGATCTTCCAACGTTCACCTCAATACCTGGCTCAGGTTTGATTTTATTAATAAGAACTTTTAAGGTTCATGCTACAAGGTGATCCCCTAAATTCCATGTTCCAGCTTTAGGGTACTACCTGCCACTGTGTCCCCTCAAAGGCAGGGATCTTTTAGCTACCCAAACTCAAATAATGGATAGCAAGGGAGAGACAAAAAACTATACAGACCCACAGTAGGGGACACGCACCAGAATGTAACCTTGGCCTCCATGTCTCCTCCTTCCAGGGCTGTTACCACGACAGGGAAAACCTTTGAAGGTATCATGTGACTGGGTAGGCTTCCATTGTGTACCAGGGCCTTTGGGTACCAGATCCCAGAGTACTGTAGGAGACAAAGCTTTGAGAACACCCAAGTCTGGCCCTGTTTCTATCCCAGAATCCAGCATATGGGCTGGCACCTAGCACCAGAGCCCAGGCTAACTGATGTGGGCTAAGCCTGTATGTCCAAAGACCTTTGGTCAGTAAAGGGATGCCAGCACACAGGCTACCCAATCCATGACAGTAGAAAGCGAGTGTTCCCTACCCCAGGTATCTAAACTCTTGAGTTCCACACCTCAGCCCTTGATGAATGTCTTTGCCTATGAGGCCTTCTAGCTATGGGTGGCACTTGAACAAGGACCCCTCACCAAAATCTGTTTTTCTATTTTAACCCCTATTTTAACCCCTGTCTTCAGGAGATGCCTGTCTCCTGGTCGAATGGTGGAATCCCTGATCTGACCACCCAGCGCAAGGTCAAACTCAACCTTCAAGGAAGCATCCTGCAACTCAGCTCAACTCTATACCAGCAGCAAGCATGCCTTTATCCTTCCCCCACCCATTGATCTGCCCCTCCTCACATCCTCCTGGTTATCTGATGGGACTTCCTGGGCCCTCAGGACAGCCACCAGCCCCAGAAGCAAGAAGGTCAGGAGCAAACTCTTCATCTTCAGTCGCTGGGCTCTCACACAAGGCAGGTCACCTGGGGAATGTCTGCTCCGCATCCTCACAGGGTGCCCTTTATATCCCCCATGGCCAGGGATGTGTGCCCACTTGGCACTGGACACGTCCCTCCTGCCCTTCTATCATGGCCAAATCCACATCCATCATGGAAGTGGAAAGTTGTTGTTGTTGGGATCTGATGAATATCAACTCATTGTCACCTACAGATGAAGAAAGACACACGATGTCCTGCCATGTCTGCACCACCAAGAGCCATGCTCACAAAGGACCCTGGGGAGATGAGTGAATCGGGGCAGGGAGGTGGCACTTAGGTCAGGGAGGGAGGGCCAGGCTTCCCTTCACACCCCTGCCCTCCATCTCTCCATGGCTGCCCTGAGCTGTGTCCCCTGACACCTGGCTTCTGACCTCCTGCTGCTGAGGACAGGGCTGAGCTTCACCACCAGAGAATGTCTGCTTGTTTCCAGATGGCCTGGCCCCTGCCTGGGAGGGAGGCCACTTCACTGTCCTATCCCTGCATGGGTACCCCACCTGGACCTTCCTGTAAGTGGGGACACAAACTCCTGACTCCAGTCAGTTAAACATCATCAGGGTAGACCCCTGCCACACTAGGCGATACCCTGACCCTGACCCACTTCATTCTGCACTGAGGCCAGCTGTGTGCTCTGCAGGACACTTCTGACTCCAGATGTCTTGGTCCTTTTTCACTAACTGGCCAATGCCCATCTACTCAACCACCAGTTAGGGTTCAGTTTCCATAGTTCACAATTTTAAGTTGGCCGCATGAAGGATTCCAGCCACACATGAATATTTGTCCCCTGAAGGAATCGGTGAAGGGGGGGTCACCTGTGTGAGCTCAAGGGGATTTATCTCCAACAAGGGGGCTTGACCTTCTGCTGCTCTTGTCACCTGAGGACCCGCTGAGAGGACATTTTCAGAGCCAGGGCTGCCCTGGTACAACTGAGGCCCATGTGTGTTCATTTCCTGCCATCTTGTGCCCTGAGGTGGGATGAAGAACCAGGGTCCACCACAGCCTGTCCCACCCTTGTGCTCCTATTGAACTTTGTTCCTCTGGAGTCCACAACTTCCCTTCTCATTAGCTCTGGGCACCCACTTGCTCTCAACAGGGCCAGATCTCATTCCCTTTGGGTCAATGATGCTAGAGGCACCATGACTCCATGTACTGTGTTCTGAGTTCATGATGGCTGCCCTGGCTGACCTGTCTTTGGGCCTCAGCCCAGCTTCCTTCCCAGTGGGAACTCTGCCTTCTACTCCCCACTCTGCAGTTCCTGAACTTGGCCACCTGCCCTGAGACCCAGAAGGTCAGCTCTGGAGAAGGGTTTCAGTTCCTGTGGGGCTGTCTACACTCTATGGCTCTGAGATGGGTGCTGGTCCCACAATGGCATCTTTGTGCCTGTCTGGACCAAAGGTGGACAGGCTCACGTTTCCACAAACAATCTTAATGAGCACTCTCTGACAGGCCCTGGGTTGTGCTGAGGAGCTGGCATGGCCCAGAACTTGTCCTCACTATAGAAGGTGTTGAGCAGAAGGCCTGGCATTCTGGGTGTGAGAGGGTGGGGCCGGTGCTCTTTAGGACCAGAGATTAGGAAGCAGGCTAGCATTTCCACATCATGGGAGAGGCGTCTCTGTACCTGTCAGCTTGTCCTTCATTAGCATGCATGAGTCATTCCTGGAAATACCTTACCACATAGGCACATGTGTCTCAATCCTTGAACATGAGGAGAATGATATGAAGGTGTGATTGACAGAGCCAGGGACACTCAGTCTGCTGCTGACTTGGGCTGTGACTGAAAGTGCTGAAGCCTGAACCTCAGAGCCCCAGAAGCTCTGGTAGACATTTCCAGACACACTAGCAGCCTCACAGCTTCCCAATCTCGTGCCTGCATCTCCTTGTGTTTCCCTAACACACGTACTTGAAGAACAGAGGTGAAATAAATTAACACATCGTCATGTATGGATCAGAAGCATCCTCCACAGGTCCATGTGTTGAAGACTTATTCCCAGCTAGTGGCCCTATTTGGGGTATTCTGCAGAATGAAGGCAAAGGGCTGATAGAAATGAGTCACGGGGAATATGTCCTTCAGCTAAATCTTGTCCTGGCCTATTCTTAACATACTCAGAAAGAGAAATTTTGCATGTTTTCCTTCACTTGCAGGATTTATATTTAGTATGTACATATATTGCACACATATATGATATGAAAGTATAAGTGACCATGTGTGGGAAGGTAGAGTCTGGTGGACGGACAGGAGATGGAAAGACAAACATCACTCTTCTCTCTCATGGAGAACATACATTTGTCTCACTTTGGACACTTGTTCAGGTCTGCTCCAGAGCTCTCTAGTTGTCTATCCCACTGAGCTCTAAACACATCAGGCCAGGCAGGGCACTCAGTAACACCGCCTCAGTGGGCCCCCAATGGCTTTCTGTAGAGATACAGACCTGTGAGGGAAGACAGGCTTTGTGCTTGCTAGGAAGCAGGTGTGCCTTTCTCGGTTGGTTATCCTCTGCCCTGACCAGACCCAGCCCTGGCCCAGGCAGATACCCTGGGCCGCAGCCACACCTTTTCCCACCTGGTCTGAACCAAACCCTGTGGATGGGATCCCACCCCCAAACCACCTCCTACAACGTCAAGCTATTCTTTAGAGCTGTCTTTACATTTGTACTCTTAATTGTTCATTACATAAACCATTCCCTGTTCTGTCTACTGTACCATTCTGTCTACTGATTGAACCCTGATTCATGGAATTATAAATTATTTAAAAGGTCATAAATGTTATGGGGAAAATCAAACAGAACAAGTTGTTCAGAGCGTTGACATGGGGCGGGGGTAGTGTTTGTACTTTAAGTGGAATTGTCTGAGCCAACCTCACCAAGGTGACATTTGAACACAAAATTGACTTCAGTGAAGGAAATGGTTTAGGAACAACATGGGAGGAACACAGGGTACAGACCTGGGCCAGAGAGCTGGGCTGCTTCTGAAAACAGACTGGAGGGCAGGACATCTACAGCAGATGATACCTTAGAACACTGGGCAAAGACAAGGTCACCAAGAGGGCAGGGCCAGCAAGGGTGGCTGTGGGCCGCTGTAAGGATACATAGGATATATTCTCTGGGAGAAACACGGAGAACTGGAGGGCTTTGATACAGGCAACATGTGGTACATTTTAGAGTCCTTCCAGGTGTTATAGTAAGAATGGATTGGAGGCAGCAAGCGTAACATCTGGAAAAAACACAGTGATCCAGGCAAGAATGATGGTGTAACATTGCCTGTCTGGGTAGAAGGGAAGAACAAGGCATGGACTTATATACCCACCCAAACAAAGAGTAAATGGGAAAGAATCCGCAAAATCATTTTTATGTATTGGAGCACAAACACTAGATAGAGGAAAAGGACAGCTTTAATATGTCCCTGGGACAATTGACATCCACCTGCAAAAGAATGAACTCAGACCTCACGTTATTGTACAGATTTACTTGAAATGGGCCTGGCCTGAATGTGGGAGCTAAAACCAAAACACACAGAAAGTATAAACCTCTGGCCATGGCAGACAGAAAACGAAAGGAGTAAGAGGCAGATTGGACTTCATCAATGTGCAGTGTGTAAAACTGGGGGTCACCAAGGGACTCTGTGAAGGAGCTGGAGAGATGACTCAGTAGTCTATTCCCAGCACCATCAGATGGCTCACTGATGGTGAGCTAACTGCCTGTAACTGCTGCTCCAGGAAATCTGGCACCCTCTTCTGGCCTCTTAGGGGAACTGCATTTATATATGCTTATACACTCACACAGATACATACATACATACATACATACATACATACATACATACATACATACAAATAAATAATAATAAATATTTTAAAGAAAGACTCTGTGAATGAAATTAAATGACAGGATAGACTGTGAGAAATACATGCAAATTATACATCTGATGAGGATCTAATGTCAGTAAAACATTGGTAACTCATGGATGAACCTAATTAATGATGGACAATGGATTTGAATAGACCTTTCTCCAGAGGACAATTTTATTTATTTATTTGTTTGTTTGTTTGTTTGTTTGTTTAGTTAGTTAGTTAGTTAGTTAGTTAGGTAGGTAGTTTGAAATAGGTTCTCATTATGCAGCTCAGGCTGTCCTGGAACTATGTAGACCAGGCTGGCCTCTAACTCACAGAGATCCACCTGCCTCTGCCTCCTGAGTGCTGGCATTAAAGGTGTGCACCGCCACCACCACCCAGCAGCTGACACTTTGTGTAGATGAAGTCCTGCAGCTTGTCTACTCTGTCTCTTCCCTGAGGTTCATTCATACTTCAGCATGGTTCAGAAGTTCACTCCTTTCATAGCTAAATCCTCTCCTACTGCTCTGGGGACTGGAGCTGCTCCTGACACTGAGGAAGTCTTGAATAAACTCTGTAGTTCTACTTGCTTTTCGTTGATTTTTAGCAGCACTAATTTAGGAGAAGTGTGTTATTGGTCCCTACAGAGTTGGACAGTATGCTGTAGACAATGCCTCTGACCACGCTTGCCCAGATTGCTCCCAGGGATTTGGCAGTCCTCTGTGAAATCACTTGTTCCTCTCTTTTGCCTGGGTGGGTGTCTGATGGCTGACATCAGGCACCCGACCACCCATGTTTGGACTGTGAGTCACACAGAGAACCATGACCATTTTTAAGTGTGCAAGGCTGACTCATGGCTGCTTTTCTCACCTCCAACCTCTCCCCCACACCACAGTACTCCACCTCTTTGTCCTGTCAACCTCCCCGTCCTCAGTGAGCGCCTGAGGACTTGTCCCCACTCCTCCAGCCTGGCTGCTTCCTGAATGAACTTTTCCGCTCTCGGGAAGTTCTGCTGCGGTGGCTGGCCTAGTATGCAGCGGGCAGAGTCTCCTCTTAGCTCTCGTGAGCCACAATGGTCTGTTCCCATGAACTGCTGCCCTGGGGGAGACCTGCTTTCCTTTTTTATTTTTTATTTTTAAGGATTTATGTCTTTTATGATTTTTAAATTT